TCAGCTCGCGAGCCAGGTTCATTGAACACGTGTTCAATGAGTCTGGCTCGTTAGACTCGTTTTTTAATGACCTGAAAAAATTACGACTCAAATCGTTCGTTTTCTGGTGATCCACGGACCATCTCGCGAGTCGGGTTCGTTTCGACACCCCTATTAATAATACCCGTTAATGATCCAAGCGGGATCTGGTAAGTTTTTTAAAATCTATGGTTCATATGATTGTAACTTTTAAACGATTTCCAAACTACCATCATGGTATAATGTTTTTTGAGACTTTTTAAAATTAGGTTTTACTGTAGAAATTAAAAAGAATTGGTGTATTTTTTATAATAAATTAAAATTTGTGAAATCTGACTTACGATTTGTAAATAAATGTTATTTTTGCTCATCACAAATAGCAATGAAGATTCTTCGACGAGATTCTCTGGTGGTCCCCGCATTTGCATCTACTATTACAGTCACTGCATGTCCGCCACGTGTTCTTCACCATTAAAATTAAATTAATAAAGATCAAAACCACTCTTTATGTTTTTGCGTATTTATTTATATAATTGTAAATATACAACTATAAAACTCCATCAATTTAGTGGAATCAAAAACGTCACAAAAAAGTTAAAACAGTATATTAATCAAATTCGAAAGGAAACTTGAAGCAATAATTAATTGAATATTGGAGAATAGTGTTTGTCAATGTCTTTTCCAAACACGAAGGAAACTTGTGGGGTTGAGGTGGGAGGAATCTGGTGGTTTTATAAAAATTATAATTTGCTCCTTAATAAACTAATTATTTACAAATTCGTCCTCTTTATCTTTCCCTTCCTACTAAAATGGTTGAGAATTTGATGACGTTCTCTAACCATAGAGAAATTGAAAGAAATCAATAAAGACAAATCCTAGTTCGAGTAATCCTTTTTTATATTAGAACGGATCCTTGTACACAATGGACGTGGAATGTCATTGAATCTAGTTAGATTAATTTTGTTTATTTGAATTCATTCATATAAATCAATAAAATGCAGTATTAATTATACGTATCTCTAACAATATCAAATTAATATCATATATTGTTTAATCGTATTATTAGTATATTAGCGTTTTGGAATAATTGGTTGTATTAGGGGCTATCTTGGCCGGCAATAAAACATATTTTTCTTAAACCTAACCATGCACTAAGTAGCGTAGATTTATTCACCGTTTTTAATAAGATACGGACGCACATTAATGGCAATGGAGGCAAAGACCGCCATTAGTTTAATTAAAAAATATAATTTTCCTTGTAAATTTTCACAAATTTGTAAATAAAATTAGAAATTCCCCCATATTATCATAGAAAAAATTATATTTGCCCTCTGCTAAATAATTTCCTAGATCCGCCACTGATAAGATACATCATTGATAGTTATATGAATTAACGCATATTAAGTGACCCTTTTGATCTATTTTCACTATCAAATTTAGGTGATATAAAGATTCGAAATTCGCATCAAATAAAACTGAAGCTCTTTCAAAACACACTTATATGTATATACTCCTCGTGCGTGTTTCTTCTTTTATAATCTGTAATTACAATAATGCTATAATTATGTATACTCTAAGCCTCTCTTACTCCTAGAGTCTTCCGAGTAAGACTCTCAAAAACCTTCTTCCTCCTTCAGAAGTTTCACAAGCACACAACCAACACTATTTTCAACAAAAAAGTTTATCATTATAATCTATAAATTAGTTTCTAATGACTCAAAAGTCAAACCCTAAATATGGTGGTCTAATAGCTGGTTTTGAATTCCTTTCCCTTTCACATATCACACACACACACAACATTATAAAAGAAATTGTAGGTCAAAATTGGAATATAATTCTTTCCTAAGGTTTATTATTGGCATAGAGACTTTTTGAATATCAATGATTGAATGAGATTAGAAAAATCAATATGCAATTGCAATTTAATGGGTCTCTTTTATTATTATTTATTTCTTATTGCTGAATATATGTATTGTTTTCGACCAATGTGCATGCTAAAATTGATATATATCCAATAGTGATCATTATACAGCATGATTGCAAAATCATATGTGCATTTGTTTTATATTTTGTTATGGTTTTCCTGAAACTTGAACGACATACATATTCTACTAGAATGAAATATGAAGTGATACTTTATTTCAATTCCCTAGTTGTAATAATAACAACAACAACTATAATAATAATAATAATAATAATAATAATAATAATAATTGATTATTAATACTTTATGCTGAACAAAACATATTAATCAACTGAAGTAATTCAAAAAGGACGTCAGGTTTTAAGGGGCGGAAGCACTTCAACGTACAACAAAGCACATAGGTTTTCGGGGTTTTATTTCTTCCATATATATATATTTGATCAATTGTATTATATAATTATGAATATTTATTTTATTGGAGAAATTGGATGAGCTCAGCCTTGCCATCACAATTCATCAAGTTGCAAATTAATAATAAAAATAAAATAATATGTAATCATAACCTTTAGTTTGGAAGACATGCCACATGTTACCACAAAAATCTCAACCCCACAGCCACTTTCTACAAACCTGTGTTTATTAAACGTGTGCATACATATATATACATACACTTTGCATATTCATGTATATATAAATAATTACATATATACTATGATACCAAATTCTAAAAAAACTATTTTTTTTTTTGCTTTCTATGTCATATTTAGAGTTTTAAGGTTTTGATAATAGGTAGAATGGGTTAGAGAACATTATGAATAGTGACGTATAATAAAATCAAATTGAATCAGACATCTGATACAAATATAAAAACGGAATTAATTTAATAAATAAAATATAACTAAAACAAAATCGAATAAAGAAATCTAAAATGTTCACTTCTAGTTTAATTTTGTAGGTTTATTTTCTTACATTTAAGGTTATAGAAATAAGAATTCAAAGTGGAAATTATTTCTCTCTCTCTATCTCTCTTTTCAATGAATATTTGAGGAAAATTCAATAATTGGGGAAGAAGTGAGATTTTGAGAAGATGCCACTTAAACCCATTGTCACTGTCAAAACGCCTCAATTATTGTTTGAAGTGGGACCTACATTTTCCACCTATGAATAAAACCTCAAATAATAATACAACAAAAAAAACTCTTTTTTTGTTTGTTGTTTTCAAGTCAACAAATCACGTAATTTTTAAAAAAAAATAAGCATTTTTTCTACCATCGTTACAAATATAAATATTTTCAAACAACTTATAACGTACCCTTTCAAACGTTGAAAATTTAATTCTCCGAGTGTATACTGTAATAATTAAGATTTTATAATAACAAAAACATTTATCAAATCGCTAAATATATACTTTCTAACATTTCCTGAACATGAAACATATGAAACCGTGATGAAAATTGGTCCAATCTTCTTGATCTTCATCATCTCCCATTTCCATACACTAAAGTTCAATTTCCATGCATATATTCATGTTTTCGTAACCACAATTAGTGAACGAACTTTCCTAAACAAATGGAAAATTGCTAGAAAATGAGACGTGAATTATATATATACACACACAGATACATATTTCCGTGGATCGGTTAATTATCCATAGGGCATATTCGATCATATTTTTCCTTTCGCGAGCATTGAAAGAGAAACCCTAATTTTTTTTTTTCTTTTGATCAACACTACAGCGCTATAATTCATCTTACAACATTATAACAAAGGGAATATAATATAACCCAAAGAAAAAAAAAAAAGAGGATCGAGAAAGAGGTGAAATTACGATTGTACCCAAAGAGCACCAACTTCGACGAGCTTGGGGACAAGATGGCCGCTCAGATGAAGGGCGACAAGTGACTCGAGACCTCCGACGCAGTCTCCGCCGATGAAGACGGCGGGTGCGGCGGAGGAGACGCCGGAGAGGGCGGAGATCTCGCCGTCGTCGAGCTCGATGACGGTGGGGCAAACTCCGATGGTGGCGAGGAGCTTCTTCATGACGTGGCACATGCAACAGGACAATCCGCTGAAGATGATGACCGGATGCTCCGATATCAGCCGTTGGATCCTCTCCTCCGCCGTCTCCTCCTCGTCGATCGACAGCCCTCCTCCGCCGCCGCCGCCCGAGGACGACGCCGTCTGGGGGAGCGGAGTGAGGTCCAAGCAGACGACGTCGTTCGGGAAGAGATGCAAGTCTTGCATCGTTCGTGAGAGAGGAAGAGAGAGAGAGTTGTGGTGTTTTTGGCTTTTGGGGTGAGAGAGAGGAGATTGTATGTGTTTATATATATATATATATATATGACTAAAAAAAGAGGGAAAATGATTAATTTTTTTGCGAATAATAAAGAAAATGAAAGAGGGAATTATTATTATTATTATTATTGGGAAAAAGAAAAGGACAAATAATGGAAGGAGAAGGGAGAGGAGTGAGTGGTGGGTGTGGTTTGCTTACATCACAAAGTACTGTCCCCGTGATGTGCTTGTTTCTTTTTTTTTTTAATTTAAAAATAAATAAATGAATTTAATTGTTTCTTGCATTGAATTTGAGAGATTATTAATTTTTTTAGATGCTTTGGGAGTTCCACAGTCCACGCGCTAGATTTTATTGCCGATGGCGACACCTTTCCCCTTCTCTCTCTCTCTCTCTCTCTCTCTTCTTCTCTCTCTCTCTCTCTCTCCCCCCTTTATATCGTTTCCTTTTTCACCGTCCATTTTGCTTTCATTTCCCTTCGGATCTCATATTTCGATTCCATTAATTCGAATCCATTTTTTTATTATAAAAAACATTCATTTGTTTATTTTTTTGGAGTATCATTTTATTTAGAATACTATTCAAATTTATGTTATATTCTATTAAACAAAATCTTCATTTTTTTACTATATTTTCATTCTAAATTCACTCCATTTATTCAATTTTAAAAATAATAATCAAACGATTTTTATATCCGATTCAATTCGAGTAAAATTTCATTCTATTAAATATGATTCTTTATTTGATTTCATTTTCCGTATATTGATTCTTATAAAAAAAAGGATATCGTATCCCACTTATGATTATTTATATTGGTAGTGACGTCATTGTAATGATTTTGTGGTTTAGTCTCAACATTGAACAATAATAATAACAATAATAATTCAACTTTAGATTAAGCTGAAACATGAATCTAGGTAGCGATTATTCTATACAAATGTATTAATTTTATAATGCTAATTTCCAAACCGTTGGCCCTCCTCCAGCTGCGCTATTCTTGGTGCTATGGGCTGATTTTTTTTTTCTTATTTAAAATTATAACCTAGACAAACCACTGTATTTTGACACTAGATTAAATTATTTTTTATTTACTTTTCAAATTTGAAAACAGTTATTTTATTTTGGTTTTATATGAATTTTGTTCCAACTTGTTTTGAATTTGATTTACTCATTATTATAATTTCTTTTTTGAAAATTTTTAAAAATCAATTCTGACGCGATGAATTTAATTTTAAAAGTTCATATCCTGTTAACTTTTAAATAAAATTAAATTTAAAGAATATCATACATTATTCAATCATCAGAACTCTCATTTCAACATATGTACCATAAGTTATACTTTCCATAGTTGGCGTGTCTCACTGAAAGAATGAAAGATTTGTCCTCGGTTATATTATTTTATTTTGATAATTTTTCATCCAAAAATATTTTATATTATCTCTATCAAATATGATTCATCCAACAACACAATTTAATCCTTTTGGATTAGACCTTCTCTTCTTCACCTCTCTATTCCACCTACTTTTTTATTTTTAAAATATTTACATTGGAATATATAATATCAAACCTAATTAAATAAAATAATATATAGTTATATTTGAATTGGAATTGAAATAGAATTTTAAAATTAAATTAATTGCAGAAGAACCGATCCCAAAAATGAAAATGAAAGTATTTTATAAAATAATTCTTTAATAAAAATAAAAATCAAACTGAACCTAAAGAATACATTAATCAAATAAATACCTAATATAAAAAGGAATCTATTTTTTATAAGGCTGTAAATATTAAGTACTAAAATAAACGAATAAAAACAGTTTTTTTATTTTTTTGGGCACGAATTCTCCTATTAGTTATTTAGTTTCAGTTAACAAAAAAAAATAATCTCCTATTAGTTTTATTTTTAAATTTAGAAAAAGAATTATTTTTTCGAAGTAAAATAAAATAATAGCTGACGTGATGTGGGGCCCAACAAGAGAATGACGTAATCATAGGAACTAGATTCCGCTTTCCTCGTCATGATGACGTTCCTTAATCAACACGTGGAAACCCAAGAGGCCTCCCTCCCCTTCATGCATGGAGAAACTGGGACCCGCATAAACTTTGGGACCCACAACATGGCCTCCTTTCACCTTCTTTTACCATTTACAAGTTGCGGTGGTGCCGTGAAGAAGACAAATTAATATTCCAATTTAAAAGCTTTCTTTAAGACAAAAAATGCTTCAACTATATAATTTATAATTTACAATGTTTTTTTCGTTTCAAACAATTTACCGACTTCTAAATTTATAAACTCATATCTAAAAATCTAAATTAACTGAATTAATCATGATAATGAAAATGATCATTTGTATCTAGATATAAAAAGTGAGTCGAATAATGTATATAAAAGTATTATTGTATATGAAATTATATTAGTTAAAACGGAAAATAGAAGGATAATGAAAATATGCTTATAAAATAATTTTGAATAAAATCAAATATAGTTCAATTGGAATCAAGATCGTTTTTCAAAACTCAAAACTCAAACAAAAAGATAATTTCAATTATCTATTTATTATCACAGTTTGTGTAGTTTCCTAGAGTTCGATTCGATAGTGGAATAAATTTAAACAGTTCATATCATATGGGTTTATGTTTTGTGAGAATAGGTCAATTAGATGGCAACACCTTATGTAATGTGTAATTCATACTCACTAAATCTAATTGAAATAACATAATTATATATGAGAGGAAAATGACAAATTTAAATATTTTAATATCCCAAAATTCCGTTCAAACTTGTCATAGCCAAGAAACTCTCGAAAAATAATTTTAATATTTTGCAACTTGGAATATTTCGCTTAGTTTTTTTTAACCTTTTAATATTTTTTTTGGAGGCAACGAATTGTTTGAGAATTTTTTGCGTTTGTTATGAATAGTATAGTTTTTCTTTTATGTTGTTTCTATGTTCATTACAATTTTATTTAATTTATTTTGAATTTTCATGCTCTCTCTCTCTCTCTCTATATATATATATATATATATATATATAACATTTAAAACTCTTAGAAATAAAACGACAAATAAAACTACGTATAACGTATCATCCCGTGGAACCACCATTCCATCATAAAGCTCCATTTGTGAAGACTTTGGACAACCGTCGAAGGTGGTTTTCTTCTTCAACATGTGATAACGTAAGCAATTTAAAATGCTATTAAATAAAGTTAGCCTTTTTTTTTCTTCTTATCTTATATATGTATTTAAATATTTCGGGTGAATTTATGAATTTTGAAGAATTCAAAGGTGTATGGGTAGAAATGTCTCTTGTTACTTCATTCGAAATGTTCTTATTTATATAATTTTATATAAAATCAAATCACACTAAACCGAATTAAATGAAATTACACCCATCTAACTAATCTTATTCTCTATTATGAATCCCTTTGTTCAAGATGTGATATCTTACAACATCATAAAAGTATTATTAAATTAAATTTATGTATTAATTTAGCACCCTATGGAATCTTCTTCTTCACCCCCCACATATGACATATGTAATATGCTGCCATATTTCTCAAATCCGCTTCTCCAACAACAAGTCTTAGGCTTTTAGAAAATAAGCCTCAGAATTTTCCATATTTCTGTTCAGTTGCTGCAACTTTCAATTTAGTCAGATAGACCCAAAACCCCAAGCAAAGAAGATCTCCCGCATTTTCGATTACACCCTCATACTTTTTAAAACTCGGAAATTACCCCTCAGCAGCCCATTTGTTGCAATTCGGTCTATGGAATTTTATATATTTACGCTACAACCCCAAACTATCAGAAGTGGGTTGGAAAATTAAAACTCTGGACCTAGTTCGTAAAACTCTGGGCCTTTGAGGATGGACTCTGCATTCTATTTAAAATAGGGTTTACACGAAATTATCAAATAATAACAAAAATATTTCTAAAAAAGTTTATTATTATTAATAGACGTGGCGCTTTTCTTTCATAGTTCCCATCAAATTAATTTGACTCTTGAAAAAAAAAAAAATCATTAGTAAGCATGCAGAATCGTCTGCATATGCCAACAAAACCCGCCATCGAAAACGGGAATAATTCGTTATGGTAGGTCGAATGTTTCAACATCTGTGGATCATCCCAATGTCTAAATGACATAAATCATGCATCTTATTTTAGAGAAATATTGCTGAAATTTATTAAAAAAAATATATTTCTGCAATATGTACATTTCTTTTTCAAACTTTACAATCTATACATATTTTTTTTTTGGATAAATTTTCCCAAAACTTACATTTTATTTAGAAATATTGCAACTAATTTTAATGTAGTAAAATATTGGATAATCTTCACATATGGATAGATTTTTCGGATTCATGGTGTTCTCTCCAATGTTTATTTTTGCATATATTCTCATTTTTTATAAGGTACAGTAAATTTTCACATTATAAAAAAATGCAAGCAATTTAGAACCACAAGATGAGGAAACAAAGACTCTAGGATACATCATCAAACATCAACACCGCTTTAGTTCCAAGTTTATTTGGAGTCGTCCGTATGGATTCTTCGTTTCCACTTATTTCGGTTTTGCGTTACCTCTTTCGGAATTTATAACAATTCTAAATCGTTCTTAATTACATGTTCCCAAGTCAGTTAGATCTATCCCTTCCTGTCTCCACCCTCATTTCTATACTCTCAACTTTTCTAATCGGCGTATCAATCGCCTTACGTTGTACATGTTTGAACCATCTTAAACGGTTCTCTCTTAACTTCTCTTGTCTATCTATTACATCTATTTTCTCTCTAAAATATTCTAAGATAATAGGAAAAAATTAATTTCAAATTGAAGCTTTATTGAAAGAGAGAGAAGAGAAAAAAGGTCAAAAAATCAGTGAAGATATTGGGAGGGAAAAACTTTAAAAGGAAACGTAATCATTTTGGTAACGTGTTCCTGCTTCTGCTGCATTCCTTTTTATTATTTTTTTATAACTATAAAAATTTTAATATATAGTAAGCCAGAACTGTGTTTTTTTACTACTTTTAGAATCAAACTAGTACAAAAAAATATGTACTTTTCTTAAAAAGGATTACTAAAATAATATTTTTGTGTTTAGAAAAATTGGTTAATCTTCTCATTAGAGTTTAGATTGAAATTTAGGGTTTGATTTTAAAAATAGTTTTTAAACAAATGTTTTCCTATTTAAAATATGGTTCTGAAGTCAAACTGTTTTCATATTTTAAATAAAATGGGATAATTTTCTCTACCTGATATATCTATCTATCTATAATGCAAGTCCTAACTGCACTAAAAAAGGCGATATTTGATTAAGACGTCCGTTAAGAAAATTAGATGAATGATAAGGAATCCATGCCTAACCATAAAACTAAACCGCAAATTTTGAGGGATCTATATTGAATTTATATAATTTTATGTTGATATTCCAACTACAAAATACACCAAAAATAGATGGGTTGACTCCGTTGTTTTTTTTTTAATATTTGGACATCTATGTTTGCGTATAAAATATATAGAATAAAGTTTTTTGAACGGTTGATTTTTTAAATAGATATCAAAATAAAAACTAGAAGACAAAAAATATTAGAATGTACTTGTCAAAATCAAACATGATAAGAACAAATATACGACAGAAACCTAGATTAAAAAATATAACTAAAAATCAATAAATAAAATGACAAGATAAAGTATAAAATAACGAACACCCAAACTTGGATACCTAGTGGTGAGAGAACATACAAAGTATGTTTTCACTCTGGATTCAAATCCAAAAATGGAGAAGAACATTCATCTGCGCTTTTTCGATCTTCTGGAAGATGTAGTCGGATCAAAGATTTTGGTAAATCTCCGGATTATAAAAAATAAAAAACAAAATGCCATGAACCCCAACATCTTTATGTGATTTTTCAATTTGCTAGATGAATTTATTTCTTTGACCGGATATCTAATGTAGTCATCTCCTTTTGAAACGCATTCTTAAAAACAAACATCACATTTTTTTTAATTTAGAAAGATTAAACATAAATTTTCATTTTAATAAATATAAACGACAATTTTTGTATTGGATATACACAAATATTTATTCCAACAATTGTAAAAGCTGAGTTTTTGAATTGATATTAAAAAAAAATCAGGTTATTTTAATAGTCCATATGAATAGACCTACCATATAGAATGGGTAATTAATTTTTGCCTCCCAATAAAAATAAAGCAAACATAAGCTTACATAGTGGACCGGCTGTGGGATAGACACACTTCCACTTATCCCTTCGGTTGAAATTCCTCTTGTGCGTCCATACCTTCTTTATTTGCTTCTGAGCTTTTGCAATTCCATTATTTTTTTTTTATTTTAAATAAGAAAAAGAATTAAAATTGAGTTTTGGGACCAAAGAAAACAGATAGTGAAATGATTTCGAAGAGCACTCTTAAACTGTAACTTTTTTTTTTTTTTCTGTCTCCACTGTTTTGTGATCAGTCTTTTCCTTATCATCTATCGTTTAAGTTAAGGTTGGACTGCACCGAACTAAAAAAAATAAGATATTTTTTCTGATCCGAATCCTTCTAAAATTTTAAAACGGTATTATTTTTAAAAAACTGAGTTTTTCAAAATTGAACCGAACCGAATCAAATTTTTTTTAAAAAAAAATCTGAAAACCATTTTCTTAAAGGAAATCTATTTTTTTTAATAAAAACCGGAACCGAAGAACCGAACCGAATATAATATAAAAACTGATTGATACCTATTTTTATAAAAACCGAAAAAACCGAATCGATGTATTACCATCCCGAACTCGAATCGATTTTCGAAATGCCTGCTCCTATTTCAAGTCACTAAAACCTTTTTTTCCTTAGAATGATATAAAATGTCTATGACGGACAATTTATTGGACCGGTAAGATCCATAAAATCATCTCAATTATTGTAGTTTGGTATCTAACTTAAAAGATATATCATATTATAATACAATTTTAAGAAAATGATTTCAAATTGAAAAAAAAAATTTATTGTGCTTCATTGATTATAGAAAGCGAAAATTGTAAGATGGAATAAATTTTTTACTAGATAGGTTCCGCTTGCAACCCTCCAAATTTTGTTTTTTTATTCATTCGCAATTTGCGGTAATAAATATACCTTATTTTATTTCAAGTAGATCTAAACTTGATTATTAAATTCCAAATACTAAGTCAAACTCTTGCATGGTAAATTTTAATAAGTACATTCAGTTCCGCAAACAGTAATTTTTTCAGTAACAGTAACCAATATATCTTATCTAAAATAGATAACTTCAAAACACGACGTCAGTCTAATAATAATAGACGTTAAGTTTATCCATATAAGATTATTTATTTTCATGAAAATATTTCAATGCACCAATTAATAAATCACTTTCTGTCGTATCAATTCCCTCCATTTGATTATATATATATATATATATGTATGTATATTCACGGAAAATGGCACTGTTGCATTCGTGGGATAGTGGGGGAAAAAAGACCCACTTCCTAAAGTGTTGAAACATTATAAAAACGAAACGTAACGCACAATAACAGACTAAAGAGGAGAAAAAAGGATAAATGGAGAAAGAGAAAACGTTGTTGTCGTCGTCGTGGGAGGAGATGATGACGATGATTCCTCCACTGGAACCCGAAGCGTTGACTGTGGTACTGGCGTTAGCAGCTGTAGCGGCTGGGGGCGGGGGT